ACACACACACACAAATGTGTAAAACTATTTGTAGGTTGACTTCCTGAAGAGTGTAAACAATGTTACGATATAAGACTTTGCAAACCCATTCTAACATAAATGATAGTTTTCAATGCAATGATTTACATAAGAATGTATTTTCAGTAATGTACACAGTAGTTCATTATACGGTTTCATGAGCAAAGCCAAACGAGAGGCAATAAGTCACAGCTAGAACTAATAAAGCGATACCTGTTTTGATTACTGCTGCTGTCTGTTACTACTTCATTGAATTTCGGCCGCCGTCTCACTTTCCTCAACATGTGTGTGGACAGATTGGTTTGAGTCATGGCTACAACATTCCCCAAAAAATAAAAACACATTAAAACAATTTCAAACACAGGCAAGTTAGCGGCTTTTCATTTCAAGAGAAATACACTCAAATATTGTGTCGTAGCCATGAAGGTCAACCTCATTTGTCTACTTACCAGTGAAGTCCACCACGTAAGTCATGCTTCCTACAGTAAACTGAACTGAGCCCCTTGGGTTACTGTTGTACTGCTGCTCTATAAAATCGCTTCTAATCAAGGATGACTTCCCACCCGATCCCTACAGAAATTAGAGAGAAAGCAAAATAAAGGCTATAAATGTGTGTTATATTTAGTGTATGTTGGTTTAAATTGCAGCTGCGTTGTTCCAAATAAATATTTGGAGAGATTTCTAGTACCACTTACCTGAGATCCATATTCGCACCAGCGATGGTTATCTTTGTAGTACCAGCCCATTACTTCTTTCTGGTTTTGGGACAGCAGCGTATTACGCCGTATACTGAAGTTAACAAGAGGTCCGTCGACTGTCATTTCATCAAAGTCAATATAGGCAGGCCTGTGCAGTGAATGGAAAAGGCATAATTTAATATTTAATAATCTATTCATAATTTTCCTGGTAGTGTGTGATGATGATAATAATAACACTTGATACTCAATATCAAAACACTGATAAGATAACATCTGTAATGAACCAACTCACCCCATGTTGAGGTTGATGGTGATCCCATTTGCCCCTGGCTGACAGTAATGGGCCTCAATGACAAAATCATTAAAGATCGAAACCCACTGCTGTCCATTAAACAGCTGCCACTCGAAGTGATTACCTGAGGCTTTAAATGAATGGATGAATGACTGACTGAATGAATGAATGCAATGAAAAATGAGCAATCAGTCAATCACTCAGCATGGAAACAACTTTGGGAATGTTCTTTTCTCCTACTAAAGAAACCGAAACCAACATAAAATGATAAATAAGCCAAAAGACGTACCTGTTGCCATGTTGTTTGCTGTTATCTCTCTCTGAAGTGTTTCCCTGAGGTGAGATTTTAATATAAACATTGAAACTTGTATTGTTATATTATATAAATACTACTCTTAACGTCTCAGCAAAACAGTGTTGGGGTAAGTTACTTTTAAAAGTAATGCATTACAATATTGCGTTACTCCATAAAACAGTATAGCAGTGACAGGAAGCGAAGTAGGAGAGAGAGAGAGGGGGGTGGGATCGGGAAAGGTCCACGAGCCAGGACTCGAACTCGGGACACCCGGAGCACGACAGCACTATATGTCGGCATACTGCCCACTAGGCTATTGGCACCAACAGTTACTAGTTAATTTTTAATGGAAAGTAATGCATTGTTACTTTTGTGCTACTTTTTGTCACCTGGGCTGGGCTTGCTTATACAGTCAAATCAAAATTTATCCAGACACTTCCAACATTTCACACATTATAACAGTTTATTCGCTATAGTTTAGAAAATGGTAATAAAATAGGACAAGAACTAAAAACTATAACTATATAGTTAAACTGTGTTGGAACAAATTCATCTGGATAATGTCAGATAACACTTGAGCAAAACATGGTCAGGTCAAAGTGTCTGAATAATTTTTGGTCCCATATTTTTTATCAGTTTTACTTGTAGTCCACTGTATGAAGACTTTGGATATAATATATCACAGTTAACTTTATTTTGCTATCCGCACTTACATAAATTAACTATAGTGTCCTGCACCCACTAGTAAAAAAATATCAAAAATAGTATCATGGTGTCTGAATAATTTTTGATTTGACTGTATATTTTTTAATAACAAGAAACCCATATTTTCGTCAACGCTAAAGGCCCTTTCACACCAAAAGTGAAATGAATAAACCTCAGGAAGTGCCTTTGCACCTCACTCCCAATTTCTCTCAACACTGGGACAGGAGGGGTGTCAGTGAATAAATGGATGGGAAAACAACGTAACTTGCGTTACTTATTTGAAAAGGTAACTCAAGTTCAAGTTCAGTTTTATTTCTAGAGCACATTTAAGCACGAAAAAAGGCCGACCAAAGTGCTGCACAACATACAATAGTATATAACAAGGAGAAGATCAGTAAACAAATAGAAACAATTCAAAATCCATACAACAGCAAAAGCAGATTAAAACAATTCAAAGATTGTGTTTTCTAAAAAAACTCAGATATTTTGTCGTAAATTTAAAAGCAGTGCATTACTTTACAAGTTACTTGAAAAAAAGTAATCTGATTACATAACTCGCGTTCATTTTCATGCGTTACCCCTAACACTGCAGCAAAGTAGGCTATGTGAAAAATGACATACTGGATCAAACTGAATCAATCTACAGTCACACGGTTCAAAAAGGTCAATTACTGTAGAATAATTGTGTCACCTACCTAAAGCATAAGAGCTGTCATCACATTTAGGGTCATAACTTGAAAAAATGAAGAGGACGTTGAAGATCTGGATGAAGATGTTTATTACAGCATAGCAGAATCTGGGTCGGGGCAGACTATATAGTTTCTTACACTTCTTTCATAGCTCCTCTTGCTTAAATTCATCTTCACACTTCTTCTACACAAAGAGACATCAATCCTTTGCATGACATGTCAATTGAACTTTGCCGTTCTCTGAAGCGTTTCCTGTTTCCAGTTTGACTAAAGTTGATTTTTGTAAGATTTTAAACGTTATATCACAAAACGTGTTTAAGTATTAGCTAGTAAACTGCATTGTTCCACCTCAAGATACAATAATACAATTTAATAAAATATGTTGGGAAAATCAGAAAGTAACGCGGAGTTGACTGTAACGGGGTTGGGTTGACTTATTTACACGAACGTGAAAGAAACCATTAAGTAACATCCATTAACCATTTTCAAAGGGATAATTAATTAACAATGAAAATATAATAGCCTACATGATTGCCGCTAAATCTAAGGGCTCAACTTTTCAAATAAAACGTCACTTAAAATCGAAATATGTAAACAGAGAGAGTAAGAAAGTAAATTGCAGCAAATCGTACCCGTTTTGTAGAATGAACCAACATTTTAGCTGTTACTGGACGCTTGAGTTGTTAACTAAGGTCGTGAAATTATTAATGTAAAATACATGAATGATTAGTCTACTTACCGAATATAGTTCCTAGACACTGGAATACATCGATAGCATAGCCTATTAAAACCCTAAAAAAATGAATTTGTCAAATAAACGTATCGTCGAATTGTCTGCTAGGACCGGATTTAAAGTGCTCCAGAGTCCACAGCTGCACTGCTGACCCAGTTTCGGTTTCTTTTCAGCCTCTTTGACTCGTGATTTCCAAAGCGAGCTTCAGTACGAATGATCAATGTGAACAAACTGGATGTTTTGTGCGTTGTGGCTGGCGGCAATAAAAATATAAAATCAGTGCCTAAAGCAGTTTTATAAGATGCGCTTGTGTTAAATTCCTTTTTTATTTTACTCTCGTGTGTATTGTGTTGTGACGTCATCTCCAGCAAACCCAATAATGTTTTTAGTAGCTATACTTGTTTACCAGAAACAAAGCAGTGAAGAACATGCTTGAAATATGAGATATTTCGGAGGAAAAAAAAAAACAAAAACAAAGAAAATCAAGGGTAATACGTGTAAATGGAATGTTTCCAATCAAGTTGTAATTATTTACCTGTGTATATAATATACATAAAATACTCAAATTTAGCCAAGACAAATGAGTCTGCGGTTTTATTTTAAACATTTTTGAAACCAAATGCTGTTAAGACACAATACATAAGTTGATATGTGATAGAAATTATCATGAGATTGGAATTCATTAAAATACTCTATAGAAACATGCTATTTGGTCAAATAAATAGTAATCTTAGATATTGTATGTGTATTAGTTAAATAAGGCCACATTTATCATTTTATCATTTTATTTTCATCAATTATTGCATATAAAGGCATCCATATGACACTACAGACACTTTGCATAGCATGTTGTTACCCAAGTAAACAGTTCAGTTTGTAATTAAAACCCCCAGTAAAAACAGGTTCACCCAAATGATTGTTCATAATGTCATAATTAATCATTTGATGCAACATTGATTCATTGTACATTTTGCATATTGTAATGTAAAAATATGCTGCATCGTGCATCGGATGATATTGTAGATTGTATTGCACATTGCTCAATATTTACACAGTGCGTGTATCCTTGATTTTTTAAAATCCTTTGAGCACGTCTGTGAGTATGTAAATGCTAAAGATGGAAAATGAAACTGATCAGCTGGAAAAAGTTTCACAAGCAGTGGGTAAACATTGGTTCTCAGGCAGTTACCAACATGCACTTAGAGTAAATACTAGCAAAATGACGCAGTATAATGCCTGTATTGTTCAGGCACATTGGTTAGTAAGAGTAATTATAGAATAACCAAAAATGATAGCAGTTTAAAGTATGGAATTCTTTAAGATAAACAGAAAGCAAAAAATAGGTTGCTTTAGGCACGTTTCATATTTGTCTTCAAGTTGATGGGAAGCAGCATTTAAAATAATTCATATAAACTTAACATCGGTCAAAATACCTGAATAAAGACTTCGAATTTCTATTTTCCACAGGCAGTTTACCAAATAATACACTAATTCCGGATAAAACATTCAAAATCACAATCACTAACATTCATATCAGCCAAAATCACTAAATAACGTTGTGTTTACTTCCACCCCAGATTCGACTCTTATTTGCTTGTTTGGATCTTGAGTATCAGCCAACATCTTCTGCAAGACCTTGAGCGCCCTTTTTACTTTTACACACGCCTGACCTTGCGTTCGGCCTTTGTTTTCTGGTTAACTTGACTCATCTCTGAATGAAAAGAAAGAGAGAAAACAGCATCGTTTATCATATTCAAATCATTACTTTCATCATGCATTTTAAAGTTTGACTCAAGAAAAACCCAAAGATCATGTGGCACCTTATATGACAAGACAAAAGGAGACATTCGATAAGTTTTGCAATCCTTCAAATGTTTTTGCTGACATACTTGCAAAATCCAGAGTGTAACTGTCACTGCTCACAGTAAAATTCATGGTCGTTTGGTTTTGTTGGTAACACCTCTCAATGTCAGCACTTGAGACTGAACAACCACCCTGTTGAAAAACAATATCAAGATCAGTGATTTTAATCTCTCTGTGGCCATAAATACAGTAGTCAGTGTAATGAATTAAGGGATAATATACATTCAGTCCATAATTATTGCAAACTAAACCCTTACAGGTTGATCAGGACTGGTATTGTATTGCCCTGAAGGGTTTTATATTGCAGTAATTACTGGTTGAATGTACACTATATCCCGCGTGTTACACGGCTATCAAATATTACATGGTCATGAAAAATTTGAGTTAAAATTTCTGTATATATACCATTTTTTATATAATATTTGTATTTTGTTACAATTATTTTTATTGTAGATTATCTTAAACAACTCAAAATTCAACTCAAAATAAATTGTTGCTCCCTCGTTTCAAAAGACAGCGTCACTCATTAAAACATCAAAAACAGTCTGCCTAGCAACAACATAAGCATTAACAATACAATATTATTAACAATATTATAATATTACTTTATATAATATTTTTATTATGTATTATCGTTAATCTGCAAGCCAAATTACTACAATTAGCTAAATATATACTTATTCCTTGTTTAATTGTTTTAACTGTTCAGCTGAAAGAAGCATGTAAAACCAGCCGAAACGGGTTTGCTGGTCTTAGCTGGTCTCCCATTCAGGTCAGGCTGGTCTGTTGGCTGGTTTTGGGTACTTTTCAACTGGGAGCTAAACACCAGATTGGTCCCAGTGTTATTGTAGTATCACTGAGATACTATTATATTAACATTTATAATGAATAAATATTATCTTTATTAATATTTAAATTAGTTTCTATTTTTCTATTTTTTATTTCTATTTTAAAATTTTAGTAATTTTGTTGTGTTTTTATGTTTTTTTTTAATGTCATGTTAATGTATTTGGTCTTGGCGGAATAGATCCGCTACGCTGCTGCTGCTGCTGTTGGTTATTGCTGTATTTGTAGATTATTGCTGCTGCTGCTGCAAGCAAGTACAGGAACTTGCTACAGCCAATACATAAGCCGATATGGTGCTGTGAGTATTTAAGACATACTGCTGCTGCACAAATAGCATATAAAATAACTGTAGCAGATCTATACAGGTGGAGCTGGGGAAGGTGGAGGGTTACAGAGGAACTCTGAAAGCGCGCTACAAATTCTCAAACGAATGCTAATCAGTCATTTAAATGTAAAGCAGCAAGCTCATTGGCTGCGTATGCAACATGAACCAATCAGCTTGTAGTCTCGGCCTCAGACGTCATGCCCACGGAACGTTGGCTAAACGTCTGATGCATATGGCACACAAAAGTGGAAACACTTCAGGAGTTTCGAAGTCGTTATCGGATTGGTTGAATTATACATGATTTCCGGGAGACGTGTGTGTCACGTTCTATAACGTTCCGCCTGGAAACAAAGATGCCGTCATGCCAAACCCCCTCACGAAAGACGAAAGCCATCGTGTTTACAACTGTGACGACGAGTGCTTATCAGGATCAACTAAACGCTGGATTTTGCGTTGCTGTCTATGCAGGGTCAGACAGCTCTCAGATTCCATCAAAAATATCTTAATTTGTGTTCCGAAGATGAACGAAGGTCTTACGGGTTTGAAACGACATGAGGGTGAGTAATTAATGAAAATTTGTATTTTTAATTTTTGGGTGAACTATCCCTTTAAACTGTAATCCTGCTTGGTCCAGCTGGGAGACCATCTTAAACCAGCTTCGCAAAAAAATAAAAAAATACTGCTGAATCCTTTTGAGGATAATTTTACTACTGTCACTAAACAAATTATTTACTTCTAATGTACTGTTTTAAAAAGACAGCCACCAGAGGTGATATAAGAGTCACTAAAGTAGCACCGGTATGTTGCTATCAACAATGATCAAATATATTGTACAGTTTGACAGTCATTATATACAATAAGATTAAAATCAACTACTCAAGAGAGCTGTTTAATTAATTGAAATTAATTGTTGAAATTCATTGATACACATAATAATATACATTCAAAGTCCTCATTAGCATGTCCAAAAAAGCATTGTGCATTTGTTAAAAAAAAGAAAAGAAAAAATGTTTTACCGTGTTATTGAAGGTGTACCACTGATTTTTCCCTTTAAACTGCCACTCTGGAGTTTTATTTGTTGAAGGGCTGAACATGTTTTTTAATTGGGAGGTTATTCCACGTAATCTGTTCAGTGACCACAATATGCTGTTAGTAGTGTTGGTTATGTGTACTTCTTTTAAACAATAATGCAAATATTTTATTTATTTATTTATTTTCTAAATGTGACATTCACAACTAATTTTGCTTCTGTAATGTGTCATTTTTGAATGAAACAATATTCAATGAAAAAAAAAAAACTAAGAAGGAGACCTAAGTCTGCTTATTTATATAGAATTGACTAAATGGTGAAAAGTGGGCATTATGAATATCACTTTTTATTAACCTAAATTAGATTTGATTTTCATGAGGCAAAGAGGCAAACAAGAATCAGTTCAGTAAACTCTTCATATTTACCCTCCATTTGGAGATGGTTCATATTTAGGGCGGCGTCTAACCCGCCTCTTACGGCCTGTAGGTAAATTTCTCTGAAGCATTTCTGGAAACACAAACAAGTTTATGAATGTGACCTTTCCTGTTTTTGTAAAGGTATTTAAAGTAAACAGATGTGGGAGAATACAAAACAAACCTTTAAAGCTAATCTCATACTGGGTCGAGTCGACGGTGAACTTGACTGAGCCACGGCGGTTGTTTTGATACTTCTTCTCCAGTTTTGAGCTCTGAATTGGACTGGCTTTGCCCTATAGACACACGTAGAATTAATAGATAGTCATTCAATATAATCTTGTTCTTGTTTGTAATCAACAGTGTTGGGGGGTAACACATTACAAGTAACGCAAGTTACGTAATCAGATTACTTTTTTCAAGTAACTAGTAAAGTAACGCATTACTTTTTAATTTACAAGAGAATATCGGAGTTACTTTTTCAAATAAGTAACGCAAGTTTTTTTTTTTTGTATTGTTTGACAGCTCTCCTGTCCCCATGTTGAGAGAAATCAAATGTTCCTGTAGTTCTAAAATAAATATGAATATGCATTAATTCATCTCACAAAAACAGATTCAATATTCCTCAAAATGAATAAAAATAATGCAACTCAGAATATGACACAAACCTGCAATAATGAAATGTTAAACAACACAAATATCCTTTATGTATTTAATCCCATTCTATTAACCAATGTCTTTGCTTCTGACCTTCGATGATCCAGTTTAACCATAATAATAAGCAAAAATTACTCTAGACGAACATTTGTGTTTTGGTGTGAAAAAGGCTTTTATATTTGCCAAAAAAAATAACTTTTTTATTTTAAAAACAAACAAACAAGCCCTGTCCAAATTTAAAAAGTAACGCAAAAGTAACGTAACGCATTACTTTCCATAAAAAGTAACTAAGTAACGTAATTAGTTACTTTTTTATGGAGTAACGCACTATTGTAATGCATTACTTTTAAAAGTAACTTTCCCCAACACTGGTAATCAAATGCATTTATGCAAAATACTACTTTTATATTCATATAATCTTAAACAGTAAGATACAGATGTGATAAAAGCAGCCCATCATGTTTTTTTTCAGCTACAGATTCTTCTTTTATGTAAAAACAGTTTCAACTTTCATGTAATATGAAACTTTATCATTTCTTATAATGCCTTTTATTTACAGATTTTATTGTCTTTCTTGTCCTAAACTCAACTGAATATACCCAATATAAATGATCCATTATAAAAATCCATCATATTCCAGATCCATCATAAAAATATTCATGATCACATTTTAAAACTATAATCTTAACAAATAGTGAAAAATATGGAAATACATTATATATTATATTCTTATTTATTTCATTCCTATGTATTACTTAGTATTAGTGCACAGAGCATTTTAATGTGGACATTTCAAAACCAAATGATGCCAAAAATTTGATGTACTTCTATACATAAACTGATAGCTAACATTTAGTCTTAGCAAGATAAAGCAGTCTTGTCATTTCCACCACACTTTTGTTTTTGAAAAACGATGGTTCAGACAAAATGAGGAAAATGTCTCCTGTGAAATCATGTATATCCCACTAGAATATTATTAGTGGACAAATTAAGACGAGACTGTCCAGTCCACAGGTCATATGCATTCATGTAAAACTCACCTTCTCTCCATACTGATACCAGCAGTGGTCACCTCTGTAATACCACAGCCATTCTGTATCGTTTGCGCTCATACGCCGCACTTTAATATTTGTTTTCTGAAGAACTCTCATTTTAGTGAAATCAATAGAAATAACCCTATAATGCAAATGAGAAAGATATATAGCAGTTTAAATATATGGCTGCAATAGTTAAACTACAAGCACAGAAAAACGGGATGTGTTTTATGGTATGTTACAGTGTACAGGAATGAAATGTGGGAAAATAATGAGAGAATTTGAATTTGGGGTGACTAATTTATAATCTGGTACACTCAAGTAAATAATAAAATTGCACATACCCAGCTTGGGTGTTATAGATCTTGATTCCTTTGATGTTGGGGAGTGAATATTGGGCTTCTAGAATGTGATCATTGGAAATGTTCTTCCAGCCCTTTCCAATATTCAACTGCCATTTGTAGGGCCCATCAAATTCTTCATCAGTCTCTATTTCTGATTAAAAAAGTATAAAATGATTAGTGAGGCAGACTAACTGATTAAACAATCAAACATACAATGTGCAATGCAATGCAATGCAAGGGTGTAAAATATGAGTGATTGTACTTAATTACTAATACAGTCCTCAAATATGATTGGCCGTGCTGTATATGTAATATTCATTTGAGTGTTGCTATTGTTAACTTGAACTATTAAAAAAGTATTTATTATCTTTATTGTTGAAAAATTAAAAAAAACTGACAATTAATGACAATGACAATTAGAAATGTTGCCTTGCCAACTAACTGAAAAATAATTTAAGTACTTACATATCTAAAATTGAAATAAAAAAGAATATAATTTAAATAAATATTGAAGAAATACCTGACAAAAGCGCATAACCAAATTACTAAAACTTAAACTGAAAACTAAAAATATGAAAATAAATGCCAATTCAAAAAATTACTATAATGAAATAGATTTTTGGTCTTTGATCTAAAAATGACATATTATATTATGTTATATTATATTATATATTCTATTCTATTCTATTATATACAACAGTTCATTTCAGCAATAGTTCAGTCTTGGAACAAGAGTCATTCCAAGAGTGCTAAAATAACCTGGACACATGCCCAGTCAATCACATCATCATATTATATTATATTATATTCGCCATTTAAAGATTTCAGAAAACAGGTTTCAGGATAACATGGAGTGTGTCCTTAGGACCAGTGTGTTGTAAAGCTAAGAAAAAAAAAAAAGCTTTTAAATACTTAAATGAATTACATGTGGGTGTAATTACTAGATATATCAATTATATTACATATGGATATGTTTTTACTTTAGTTTAAGTATGTTTTGTGTAAGATACTTTTTATTGTGTATTGTTGATACAGTACATTTTTAACCGCTGTATATAAAACTGATCAGTATGCTTTTACACCCCTATACACGCATACCTGCAGATGAGGGTATGCTTCTTCTTCCGCCTTGTCTTGACGATGAACTCTGAACGTTGTGGTTGAGACGACACCCGGCACCAAACTTGCACGAATCCTTCAGGAAGTCATTGCATATGTGCTCATTCCTACATTTGTCTCCATAACGGCAGTGACCACGATTGTAATTCATACAGACATTCCGCTTGAACACAAAGCATCATAATTGATTCAGATTTATTCATCTATGAAGCTGCAGCTGCATTCGCATTCAATACTATGGTTCTTACTAATCATCTCTTTTTACTAGTTTACTGCTTTCCTTTTAAATGTCTTAAGAGATGTACCTTGCTAGATGTTTGTGCGTCTTCTTCACTTTCAGAGCCAGAATCTCTGTCTGCCTCAGAATCTGTGTCACTGTCATTGTATTCTGCGCAGCTTTCACTAGACTGTTCGTTGCTGCCTTCATCTAGGAAGAAAAAAGTCCTCTTTATTATTATAAGAACACTTTTAATCAATATACAATTTAGAGAAAATGAATTTAGAGGGCTTGACAATAATATTATTTAAAAAAAAAATCAATAGTTATTTACTGGACAGCTCACATCCCTGGTCTCCCCACTTGACACTCAACAGTGTTACTGAGAATGTGACATTGCTTAAATATGTATGGACTTTTTAAATATTATAGCCTATATTAGTTCAAGTCGACTATTATGTCGTATTTGTGTGCATAATACACTCTCAGAAATAAAGGTACAACAGCTGTCACTGGGGCGGTACCTTTTCAAAAGGTACACTTTTGTCACTATTAGGTTCTAATATGTACACTTTAAGTACCAATATGTACCTTTGAGGTACCAAAATGGACCCTTTAGGTACAAATATGTACCTTTTGAAAAGGTACCGCCCCAGTGACAGCTGTTGTACCTTTATTTCTGAGAGTGTAGCAGTAGCCAGTTGCAACAAAGCCCTTAAGTTAGTAAAACCCTCAAATAATACCTATACAGTTTTAACTAAGGGTGGAGTAACTTGACTGATCAACTTTAAAAATGTTTGTTACAAGTGGGCGTTGGTTCCCATTATGTTTTTACAGTACAGACTTTGACTTTCCAAAAGTAAATATAGGCCTACCCCTGAGAAATTTCCACTAGAGTAAAACGTTTGACAAGCGGCCTCTACTAGTTTTAGAAAAATAATATTTCGAAATGAGAATGACACAAAAATGAGAAAGTGTTAACCGAAACCCCAGAAAAGCTATAGGATCACCGCAATACTTGAGACTGAAAGACTGCTGAAAAGACTACCTTCTCGTGGCTAAGTAGGCATATAGACAGCTTACATTATGTGTTTTATTTTGTTTAGTTGATATCGGAAAATAGCCTGTATGAAACTCACCCGAATCCTCTTGATAGTTCGAAGCCATATTCATAAGTGAAACACGACCTATATTCTTTCGGTTTCATTTTCTCGTAAACATAACTGCATATGCTCGTGTGTGCAGGCGATGTAGCTACGTTTTTTTTTTTTTTTTGGACGAATTAGTATATTATTCATAAGGCATTTAGTCCACAATAATTTTAACTAAAAAAACAAAACAAAACTCCGTAATACAGTAGTATAAATAATTAATTTATTTCAAGTAGCCTAGTCATTTAAGCACTGGCGCCATCAGTGGGCAGAACCCGTAAATTGTATTTATTTATTTTATTTAGTCATTTAGCAGACGCTTTTATCCAAAGCGACTTACAAATGAGGACAATAAAAGCAGTCAAAACTAACAAAAGAACAACAATATATAAGTGCAATTGACAAGTCTCGGTTAGCCTAACGCAGTACACGTAGCAAGGTGTATATATATATGTATATATATACGCACACATACATATATATATATATATACATACACATATACACCCATACATACACACATACACACACACACATACATACATACATACAAACAAACACACACATACATATATATATATATATATATATATATATATACATAACATACATACACACACACACACACACAAAGAAAAACAAGTAGATAGAATAGATAAAATAGAAAGCTAGTGTTTGTTAGTTTTTTTAAAATAAGTTAGGTGGACATAAATGCAAGCGCATTTCTAAACTTGGTCATTATAGTCTACTTTTTTTTTTTTTTTGGTCTCACAAGCAAATATCTGAAATAAATTGGAATGTAAGGGATACATTTATGTCATTTTTTTTTAAAATGTTTAATAACATTCTCAAAGCATATAGGCCTACTGTACGTTTATGTTGTAATGACAGTTTAATTGGAAGTATCACAGAGCAGTTTTTTTTTTTTTTTTTTAAATTAAAGGTCTATGAGAGGCGGTGATGGGTATTAGCCTACTTATAAATTGTAGTCTGTTACTGATTCAAAATTACATGACAAATCTTACTAGTTACATTAAACATTTTAATTAATATAATCGGACTACATTTTGATTGCTTATGTCCACCTAACTTATTTATCACATTGATACACATATATTCCATTCGTTGTTGTTAACAACATGAAGTGCATTAGCCTACATCAAGGTTTCCCAAACTGGGTTCCTGAAGGAACTGCAGGGGTTTCATAAGTTTAATGAAAAGCTAATAAATAATTAAATCATATAATCATAAAAATGTAAAAGTATGTAAATCATTTTACAAAATAACAACAATCAAAATAAAACACTTAGGCCTATTAAAAAAATAAAAATAAAAAACGTAAACTGCGAGACTGGGTTGGAACATGCCAATGTATTACTTAGCCTAATTGTAAACATATTAGCCTACCTTAACATTTCGAGCTACTTCAAGTAAATATATTAGGTGAAAGTTAAAAAAATGTTCGGGAATCCCTGCAAGCTATAGCCTACATGTAGCTTACATAAGAAATAATGTGAATTTGTACATTTTAATGTGTTATAAAGACAAGCCTTAAGACACATGGTTAAATAACCTATCGAGTGATATTTCAAATAATAAAAAATGTGTTCATACTTGATGCAATGTTAAAAATTCAAATGATTTTTGTAAATCATAATCCTTGATCAGACTGACAGAACAGCTGATTCGGTGGTTCCCTAGCAACATAAAAAAAACCCCGCTGCACACTGCTCTTTTATAAATTAAAACAAGTCAACCAAAAAAAAAAAAAAAAATCTGTGCAGTGCGCCTCGTGTTTTCAAACATGAAAACTTGATTCGTCTGATCGGGGCCTAACAGAGACTGGTCGATTACGTGAATTAAGTTACTTCTGTTTAATTTTTAATTTTTACTTCTAATGTCTGTTAAACGAGTTTAAATATAGGCAATATGTAGGCCTATGACCTACGTATTAAAAACAATATAAAATATGCTATGCTGTAAATGATATCAAGTAAAATCGCAAACCAGTGGTTGTAGCCTATTTTTACAAAAGTTTAGAGGATTTAAGTTAATCTGTAAACATTAGCCTAATTCATGTAGCCTACGCATGAAGTAAAAAATAAGATAGTAGGCTATTATAGTAAAAATGAATCATCCCATTATGCTGGATTAGCTAAATAAACAACCCATCTGGTAAAAATTAGGCCTACCCAAAATGTGTTCTGTGCTATATTTACCCAGGGTTAAAAAATAACTGAAATTGGGTAGTTTTTGATCCAGTAGGCCTACAGGTGCATCTCAATAAATTAGAATGTCATGGAAAAGTTCATTTATTTCAGTAATTCAACTCAAATTGTGAAACTCGTGTATTTTTGTTTTTTTAGAATTTTGTGGAGCATAATTTCTGAGATGCATAGTTTAGCCTAGCTTTGGCGTATCTTGTTTGGAAAATAGTTTCATTAGCGGAGCAAATTTAGACAAAGTAACTGGGAAAATGTTTAATAATTAATCATTATTACACCATCATGGGAATGTAAATAATAACAACATTACTCCACGTACTTCTTCAACCGACCACTAGATGACAGCAGTAGTAACAGTAAAACTCCCATGCAGTCGTTCATCGTGCCTTCAGCTTTCAAGTGCCACAACTCCTCCTCATTCAAATAAAAGACATACATTTGAAATTCAAACCATGTTGCTTGTCTCACATCTCATTGATTTTACTGGAAGATGCTTTGAATCGAACTGGTGGTGATTGTGGAAAGGAGGCGTGGACTTACCTGACAGGAACAGCTGCCTGGAACACGTTTTACACTTTGTTGACATGTTAGCATTTGAAATCCAAGTTTCCATGTGTATAATGTAAATCTAATGTAATGTAATGTAAAATCTGTGTTCAGAAGCAAAACCAGTTTTCTGTTCTGTTTTCCATCTCAGGACATGCTGTCAGTTTATAAAAGCACTGAACACATATGAAGACAAAATTAAAAGCAATATTTAACCAGTTATGGTAGTGATACATCCATATCACTTTAGGTCCTGAATCGACGTTTAAGTGATTTTCAGTGTCTGGAAAAGAGTGGGATGAGATGATGGTAAGGATCTGCCATGACAAGACATAATTTCACTTGAAACGCCATATTTTATATATAGTGGTATGAAGAAGTATTTGCCCCCTTCAAGGTATTCTCGATGACTGACTGTTTGAAGAACTGAACGTTCAAACAAAACGCAATATTGAACATGAGTACGGTATAATATGAAAATGTTTATTTATTTTTATCACCTATTGTGAAGAAAGAAAAGTCTCCTAATATCTGTTTGCATAACTTAGCTGCAATAACAGCAACTAAACACCTATAAAGTGACGTGAGCCTTGCTCAGAAAGTATGAACTTCTCTTATCTATCATTAGTCTTATATAATAGTAATATATAACTTAAGTAATATAATATATGTGTGGAGGTCAGTAAGATTTTTTTTTTTGAAAGAAAGTAATACTTCTATTCAGCAAAGTCACATTAACTTGATCAAAATTGACAGCAAAGACAGTTATAATGTTAGAAATTAGTGGCTGCTGATAATTCAACAAAATTACATTTTAAAATGGAAAAATTTTCAATTATTTTAGTTATTTTAAATAGTTTTTACTGTATTTTTTGATCAAATAAATGCAGCCTTGATGAGCATAAGAGACTTCTCTCAGAAGTGTAATACAATCTCTAATCCCTTGAACAGTATTATACATATAATTCACCCTGCAAAAGTTTACATTTTGACTCATCTTTTCATAAATTGTTATCTCCCGGCTCTTAGGAATCATCCAGGGGCCTTTTAGAAAACAGAAGATCTGCTGATGGAGTGTAGTCTATTTCTTATTGCTGAATCATGAACACCTTTTCCACAGGGGCAATATGGGTCATTGGTGACCTTTTTTTATTATGCACATCAAATAATTACATAAAAACTAAGCTTTGTGTTTTTTCAGCTTTACCTAGTATGTTTAATATGATATTGTGTTTGACTAACAGCATGCAAAAAGGTGAAAATCTTCACTCCAGTGTATCTGACTTGACCCCATTTGACTTGACACTTGACATTATTTAGACTCAAACATTTAATACACTGGCATCACATGCAAACCACCGTTATCATTGTCAAAGATCATATATGCTTGCAAATTGCAATTGATTTCTGCTCAAACCCATTTTCCGCTCACTCTCACATTCAAGCAGAGATGCATTAGATTAGATCATGCAGACAGAATAGCAAACAAGTATCGTGTTATCATTATTTTTACATCAAAAAACAATCATTTAGAAGTAATATAGGGTGACCAAATTTGAGTTTTCCACAAAGAGACAGTGGCGGGGGGGGGACATTTTCTCATTTTATTTGTTTTATTCAATTATTTTACTGTGTAGAATGAGTAAGTTAGGGCTAAATTATTTAATTAATGTTTTTAAAAATAAGCTCTATTCTCTCTGAATCTCAAAGTATCGTGCGAGTAGACTCTCTTCTCGTTCTGTTCCCGCTTTTTTCAGCAGAGATATGCTAAATAAACAAAATTGATATTCATCGTTTTTTAAAATTTTTTTATTTTTAACCCAAAACTAAAGAATGCAGAAAATGGTATATATGGTATATAAAAAAAAATCAGAGCTCGTGGTCTGCCGGTAGGTGCCCCCCCAGGCAAAAATGTGAAACTCCGCCTATGCCTAGTATTTTCCAATTATAGTACAATTAAATGTAGAATAACCAATTAATAGTTTCCCGCATTTTATATTGTTGTTCGACAGTGTTTTTTTGCTTTCCCCCGAAATGCCTTCAGATGGAAGATGCTCGTTTTATCGCATTTTTCCTACTGATGCAGAGACTCTGGGTTCGTATCATAAGGTAAACTCATATTATGATTATTCCATGTAAACCCCATATTTACCGGCTTTACGTGGTCACGGTGAAAGTGAAACTTTAATGATGCATAGTGCTTAAAGCCACGTTAAAATTAAATGTTTACGGCCAAATTAAGCTGTTAGAAAAGCATATGAGGAATTTCTAGTAGCAAGGATAAAATAACATTTTGTGTACCCACCCTAACGAAGCTGAA